GTAATCATTCCATATAACGGAATAAAGCATGTAGGCCAATTCCACAAAAGGGAGCATTCCACTAAATTGAATACAGTTATACCTCTGATAATGAAGTGGATATGTTAAGAAATCCACTTCATTCTTGGAATTTTTTTGTCAGAGTAAGATTTAAATGGGAACAGGTTCCAGTCTTTAGTTATTTTGCATTTTGCAAATGCCAAAAATTATCAAAAACTGCTTAATTAACAATAAATATGATACATGGCACATCATTAAATACAATAGCACATATTTTATGCACACAAAATAGTTCCTTCCGCCCTCAATCATTCTCTAGGTGACGTACACTATGTGTATGCCATGACGTCACATCGGGAAAGGGAGTAGCAGAGCATGGCTGGGATGGCAATGCAGTTACAGCCCACTGCCTACACAGCTACAGTATGTTTTCTATTTTTCTTATTTTATAGTTTTATATTACATTTTCAGTACTCTAATGTGACTTAGAAAACTGAAATGATTTTTCCACAAGGTTTACAGTTTCTTTACATGTAACAATAGCAACGTGCATAGTCATCTCACAGCTGACTGGCGATGTATTATGGGGAGTTCTATTATTACTTATAATAGTTACTTTACATGATATTAGATGTTCTTCACACTATTCATATGTCATTCTTAGGTACTATGTGGTGAGGTAGCAAGTAGATTGCTGCAAATCACTCTTAAAAATACTGAGAAAGTGAGAGTGGGTTGTCAGCCACCTGACAACCACTGAGAACTGATTGATCACGCCAAAACAATGATGTGAACCCCTTTGGACATTACCGGAAACTCCTGGAAGGCTCTGCTGGATGAAGAAGCAAATACCAGCAAAAATTTGTTCCACTTAGTCGAACTTCCTAGAAAAGGAATTCTGTTATAAGGAATGATTACTGTGCTTACAAGCAACAGCTTTGGAAAAACGATGGCACTGCCCCTCCTGCATTAGATGTAGCCTTGTACAGGGTATACATGTGACACCCACAGATGACCCTGACAATACTGTGCAGTAAAGTATTGGCCTTTTGAGTCATCTTAGAGCTCACAAAGGTGATCCCAGTAAAAAAAATCCTGTCATTCTCTATCATTGATGGATGATTATTACACCCAATTCTGAGTGACAGCAAAGGATAGTTATTTTTGGTCATGTATAACTGAATTACTGTATTCTAAGTAACTAGTTAGCAGCTATATATAAAAGATAATAATTTGTTTTGACTTAGAAAATATATAAGAGCCTTCATAGGACTTCACATGTGGTGCTTCAAAATTTACTTAATACACAGTACATACATATTCATATGTCTGCAATGATTTTTGAAAGAAATTTATGGTTCTTCTGTGTCAGATATTATTAAAGTAAGTGTCAAAAATACTGCATAAATATAAAAAAATTTCTTTGGTTGAAAGTCATCTGCAAAAACGGAAGTATGGCTGAAAATTATATGTTTCGGACAAGTTTGTTACAAAACTACAGGTAGTAATTTCTACCTGAAAAAGAATGTCAATAATACAGTATGTGCAACATTTGTGACTTACATGTTCAGAGTACTGTAAACAAACACAATCTAACTATTGGACCTAGGATGAGGGTGTAGTAACAGAATTGTAATGAATTTCTACCTACTCCGTCCTCACTTAATGATATGTATACAGGTATCCCCCTATTTACGATGGGGTTACATTCATGAAAAACCCATCGCAGGTCGAAATATTGTAAATTGTGATCATTATAACATGGGGTTCAATGGGATATATTCCCAGCCAGTTTAACACCCATATTTATCACCTAAAACAAAATTCCTACAACAATAATATACATAAAACACAATTAAACAACACTCACCATATCATTAAGAACAAGCCAGGTCGTCATCACATGTCCCCTTCAAAACTAAGGGGACTCTTGAAGGTGGAGTGTAGACATCACTCTGACTCCCACACAACTTCACAATGTCAAGCTTCACCTTCAGAGACATGGTTTTCCTGGGTGCCTTGGCCTCCCCAGACAGTTTCAAAGTTACACTGCTCACTTCACAGTCACAAAAACAGAGCAAAAGCACTTGTCACAAATACAGAGCAAAAGATGATAACAAAAAAACAATGATAGTGGCTGACACTGCTCACATTACAATACATTCATAAAAGAAGCAAAGCACTTTACAGTCACAAAAAATATAGCAAAAGATCACTTCACAGTCACCAAAACAGAGTACAATGTGAATGTTAGTGATGTCCTCTCCCTGTAAGGTAAGAAAAAAAAATATAAGTAACAACACCGATACTGACCAATAATTGTTGAGCTACGCGATCACCATGGAACAAAGCTTGGGACTGTAGTGCACCGGGTGGCCGCTTGCCAGTGCACGAGTAGACGGCAGCTGACAAATGCATTCCATATTCGGCATTGGCCAGACAATGACCCTTATTCATGAAATTTTTTTTATCGTAAATAGGGGGGGGGGCGGTCTTAATACATCACCATCGTTCAAGCAAAATATCATAGATTGGGAGATCGTAAATCTGGAGGATACCTGTATATGTCATTACTGTACAGTACTTTAATGCTGTCCAAATAAACAAATCATCATTCAAAAGAAGATTTCATATACCCAGTATGCTCTTAACATCTTTTCAACAAATTAATATCCATTACTCATTCTGTTAGAGGATGCACTAAGGAAGGCCTCCCAAAATGGAATAACAGATGTGTTCTCACAGCCAAGCCCCAAGACAACTATTGTGGTCACTTCACACAACCTAGTAGTATCACCCATCAGCAACATGTCCTTCCCAAAAACCATCCACATCATGCTCTCTGGTATTTCAAACACACTATTGCTTTTAGGATGAGCCTCCCCCATTCTTCTACTCCATCATTCTTCACCCCATCCTTGCGTCGCCTGAGTCTTTCCTCTTTCTTCCTACCAATTTAATTAAAATGAAGTATCAAAGATAATTAGGCCAAAATAATTTATTACCTGTACTGTATACCGTACCTGCCAATATTCTAAAATAAACCAATTTCAATACGTTAAATGATGAAAGCCATATCCAAGCCAAGAATAAGAAATATGTGAGTTTCATAATAAGAATTACCATACAAAATTAACAATATCTGACAGGTATGATTATGGGGTGGGGCATGGTACACCACTAAACATATGGACTACCACTTATGAATAAATCTGAAGACAGTATACAGTAGTATGTATATCCTTAATAATAGCAGGAACACATTGTAATTGTAAAACAGTAACAACACTTTAGTACATGAAAAGTATGAATCAGTATCTTTGAAATAAACAATATAGTATACAACTACAAAAAATACAGAATGCAAAGCAAAATTTGTCACAGTCCATGGTAAGATTTTTCTGTCATCTGAAACTGCTTTCCTACATACCTCTATAATCAAAGGTTATAAACTGCTCTCCTAGGTAAGTCTATATACTCAAAGGTTATAAACTAACAAATAATCATCAATGTTGAAAATGAAAACTAAACTACAATCTGCAAAGCCTACTTCTGAGAACATCTATTGCTTGATGTAGGTGTACATTCTCAATAAAAGGGTATTACCACAATATGTCGTGTAATTATTATACCAATGCTACTTTCCACACCCATACACTTATTGCAAGTGGAATATCAGTATTATAATTACTATTCCTAACTACTAAACAAACTGTCATTAAAAATGCAAGTACAGTACAGTATTTCCAATTTATGACTTGCACTTGTAGTCATAATTCATCTTTTATGCTTTACTGCTCACAAAACTAGATATTCTTAGTACAGTATTTATAATTATTGGTTTAGAAAGTTATTACTTGCACACAAGAAATGCTCATCATTGGTATATTTTCATTATAAAAAACACAGCATATCGAATAATTTCGATAAAAAAATATTTTGAAAGTGACAAATCTTCATATACAAATGATTCTTATTATATATGGATTTTGTAGAAATATCAACAAATATTCTGACAGCACCTATTAAGTTCAACAACCATGTAAAGAAAGTATTGTTTAAGATGCAATAAGAAGCCAAGGTGAGGAATAAAGTCATAGAAAAATAAAGTCACTCAAAGAAGAATAGTCAGTCAGCACCATCACATTACATCCTAACTCACCCTCCAGGTATCCAGCTTGGATTTTTAATGATACCAAAATCAGGTTAAGTACTATAACCTTATAGTATGCGAGAAAGTCAGATACGTCCGAAATTAAATTTCTATGAAGCGTTATCACTCATTTATTACTATCATAATTGTGCCATATTGATTTACTGATGCGACTTTGATTCTGATTACCCGAGCCCACCCAGCAAGCATCAGAACACAAGCAATTTCCAGTTTAAACAAAATGTATATGGAAAGTTTGACCTGCACCTTGGTTATAATTTACGTCACATGCTTGGGACATACAAATTATTACTTGCAGTTTTCCTCATGATATAATAATAATCATTACAATATTAAAAATATTTGTTTAAGGGAAAAGTCTCAGTTTATGATCCATAATCCATATAAGGGCTCAATAAGATTGGCAGGGAGCTACTACAGGTAGTTCTGCTATAACGCGATAATTGTGTTCTTGTAAAATATCGTGTTATAGAAAATCGCGTAATAGAAATAACAGGGCTTATGGAGAAAATAGGGTTAGGTGCAGATTACTCGAAATCGAAAAAATTTAGTAGTTAGCCTAACACAAAGGATAGCACAGTCTAAATAAATGTTACATTCATATCTAATAATGAAATCATACAGTAAATTTAACACTTTACCTTGAAAAAATTGAATGTAACTTGATGGGGGAGAAGGGTGATTTTGAGGTTGATAACATCGAGCTTCTCTTCAAGTGTTATATCCTTTCTTTTACGATAATCACCGGGAATTCTATCATCAGAACGCTTTTTGGAGATATTCTTCTTTACCATATTCACAGTTAATACCACAAAATTGGAGAAATAGTAAGCAAAAATCGCGTTATAGCAAACAAGCGTTCGCGTTATACAAATATTGTTCCGAATTCATAAATCGCGTTAGAGCAAATTCGCGTTATCAAAACACGCGTTATAGCAGAACTCACTGTAGTATGTGTGCAACATATCCCTTAAGGCGTTGGACCAAATTAACCTTACTTGACTGGCAAACAAATGACAGATGATGATTTGGCAAGGTTAAGTAGACTGATTAAGGATTATTTTAGTGTCTCACAGGTATTAGAATATATTATACCTTTTTCAGTTGAGATGTCATACAAAAATTTTCCAAAGTGATGGCTGTATCAAGCTAGAAGCAAACAATTGAACAAGAGCACTGATGAAAGTGAACAAAGTACAGTACATTACATATATTTCTACAGTAGTTAACAGTGAAGTGAGGAAACACATAGTCTATTACTTGTATTTTTCCATCTTTATGAGTTACTAATTTCCAGTGATAAACAGTTAGATTAATTTGGTCTTTCATCTGTACATGGTCATTGAAGGGGGTAAAACATAATTTGCTTGTACTCTTCTTGTAAATAGAATATGAATCCATAAGGTTAAACCTCTGCTCATTTTAAACTAATGTCAACAGATTAGACAATATCAATAAATTAAATTCTTAGTTTTTTTACTGATATGATCAATAACTTCATCAGAGGACTATACAACAACTAACTACAGAAAGTCTTTGCATTAAATACCTTTACAGTGTTTATCCTGTGTCAACTCCTGGTTAATTGCATGAGAGAAATCTTACCTCATACAGTAAATTGTAACTGAGATTTTGGGTGCTAAAACATCTGTGAGATTTCACATCCTTTGAATTTTTTCCTGTATATAGAAAAACGTAAAATGTAATCACAGGTATCACTTACAGTGACTTACGACTATTTTTCTTCCGTTTCTTAATTTTCGGAGGTACTGGATCAATGTCAGTAGATATAACTTGAGGTGGTTCACTTATGATCCAATCAAGAGTTGGTTGGGAAGAAGCAGGTTTGATGGGCTGTGATGTTATGGTTCCTGGTAGATCTGTCACACTACGGGCAGCTACTTTCTTTTTCACTTTCTTAGGTAAAAGTTTGAGACGTTCCCCGGCAGCTCCAGCTACAGCAGGTAAACGATCCATACTCTTTGACAATGACTTTAAAGTGTGCTTGCTTGAACGTTTACTTGGGGAGGACAAAACCTTTGTCACTTTTTTTGATGAAGTAACAACTGCAGGTGATTTTGGCTGAACATAAAGCTCGCAAGAAGCTGTAGTAGTTATTATTCCAAGTCCAGGAGAGCTGTGGCTAGCTTGGGGCTCACACACAGAAGAGAGTGGAGAGCGAGGTGATAGCGGACTCTGACCTGCAGCATAAAATCCTTCCTGAGAAGGAGACAGAGGGCTACATTTACGTTCATTTACTTCTAAACCAGGAAGACTGTAGTAAGATGGGTCTTTGTTTTTAAGTGATGCTTCCTCTGTGTTTGAACTTGAGCTAGCACAAATTTTCAACTTTTTTGTACCAGAAGTTAAACCTTTGCTTCTTTGTCGTCGAATTTTTTCCACTTTCTTTACTAATGTTGGACTTTCAGGTGTGTCTGATATTGAAAGTTTTACATTTAAATTTGGTGTAAGACTTACAGAAGCTGTAAGGCTGTGCTTGCTAGAGGTCATCTTACTACTTGCAATTTTGGCTTCTCCACCTATATGGCTACTTTCACCAAGCTCTGTAAATGTTAGAGAGCGAGACACTCCTGGTTTTTTAGGAGATGATGTCTTAATTTTTGGTGACTTTGGCTTACAACGTGGAGAAAGGCCACTAGATGCAATTGGTTTCTTTGCACTGACAGGTCGGGATCGTGTAGTTCCCTCAGGATTTTCCTGGGGCTCCTGGTTTTCAGCATCTACAGTAAGGCACCAAGAATGGCGACGAACGCGCTGACTACGGCTGCGTGGAAGTCTGGGAGAAGCAGGTGTGCTTGGTGGGCCTTGTCTGTTCGGTCCTAACCTTGGTCCAGTAGCACCACTCCTGGCACCACCTAGCCTCTCCACTGTCAACTTATTTGATGGGCGTGATGCAGGTGTGCGTTGAGTGTGTGTACCTGTGATATGTGTGCGAGGAGAGAGGGCTGAGGAGCTAAGAAAATGGTGCAACCATGTTCTTACACCTCCCAAATTTCCATACTGTGACTGAGGTATACGAGACCATCCACAGCCACCACCCACAACATCCAGCAAACTAACACCAAGTTGACGTCCACACTGAAACAGAGAGAAATTTCAATTACAGTACAGTAAACCCTCAATAACTTGGCATTTGATAACTCGTAATTTCATATAACTAGGCATGGATATGATCTCGGAATGTATAACTCAGGAAATGCCGAGATATGTACAATTATCTGGGAAAATCTCGGCACATCTGGCCATCTGCATCACCTACCATGCCTCTTTGTCACCTACTATACCTCTGTATCACCTACCATGCATCTCTGCCACCTATTATAATACTTCATTCTTCGCCTGCAGTGTTGGTAAGTATTACGTTTTTACATTTAGTAATTACATGTACCGGTACACATATATGGGTTTATAATTTTTTATTGTTGTATTTTTATAGTATGGGGAAAGTGCCTCAATAAGTCGGAATTTGGGATAACTCGGCAAGGCCAGAGCCCCATATGTGCCGAGTTATCAAGGGTTTACTGTACAGTAGAATCCCGGTTATCCGGTATCCATGCAATCAGCAGAGTCCACTAACGGGCACAATTACCCTCTACCTCAAAGCCCTTCCCACTTTGAACAACCAATATTGTTGGTAGTTCGGGGGAGCGTCATATCTCTATAATTGCTCATTTGTGATGGAAATTTGGGTCAGATTCACTTGAAACAACACAAAATACACTAGGAAAACCTAATTTTGTAAGTAGTTTCCGTGGTCGACAGAAAACAAATCTTTACCCAGAACCCTTCTGTAAATCAATGAATGACTATAATCACGTTTCTTAACGGCAATGTTGCCATTTCTACAGATTTATCTGTAGACCAACAGATTTTACATATCTTATCGACTCCTCAAAAAATGTTAGTACTCAATTATTAGTCCAACAGACTATATGATTAAAATTAAGATCTTAAAACTAGTCCTATACATGTAAATATTTTATTTACCATTAATACATGTTCAAAAAAGTGAAGTCTTGGTGTAAATTCAAATACACATGCTAGACCCTCAAATCTAGGACCCTTGGGGCCAAGACCAAACCAGTTAAGAGGATTTTCTGGGTCATAGGTCATCCACGTTACTCTGGAATACCTCAAATTTTGTTTTGAGAAACTCGCATAAACTCAGTGGAATGTTTGTTTTAATTCCTTAAAAACAAAATAAAGAAAAAAACCCATTTTATACACTTTAAATAAGCCTTGAAATATATTCTTTTTATAAGATGAGAGCTCCATAGGTAGGCCTACAGAACACTGGAGGAGGCAAAACTTGACTCAGCAAGGGAATGTAAAAGTACAGTTTTGAGAACATCCCATTCTCTGTACATGTACAATACTTACATCTTCAAACACTGCTGGAGTGTACTTGGGAGGAGAGGAAAGAGGACTCTGTGGAGTTTTTCTATGGTCAAGTGGAGATGGTGGGGTTGGATTATAAATGCGACCAGTGTTATAGTTACACTCCAGAGTGTATGAGCGCAGAAGACCAGTAGCCCGCATGATAGCCACTCGTCCGGAACCTTCTTTACTCATGCCATCACGACGATCCCTGTAAATATAGAGTCAAGGGTTAAATAAATGGGGCATCAGTCTTAGGTGGTCTGCCTCTGTTGTATTACCAAGGATAAAGAGATGATTTGTTTTCCATTACAGCAACTCCCCGACTTACGACCTACTTGAATTACGTCCACCTTCACTTACGACCTGCCTCGGTCGTACCAAAATTTGGTCAAATTATGTATTTTTGAGTCCCAAAGTCAGTACACAGACAAAATTTTCATCTATAATTCACTTTAAAATGGCTGGCAAGCTTAAAAGTGAGTGTTTTGAGGTGCTGAGAAGAAAAAGAGACCCCCATTTTCGATTTTCTATGTGTTATTTAAGCATTTCCAACTTACGACCATTTCGACTTATGACCTGGATGTCGGTCCCTAACCCCGTCGTAAGTCGGGGAGCAGCTGTACTGATTTGTCTCTGGAGCTACATGTATGATGAAATGTCTATGAACTGTAAGATCCCATGAAATTTTAGGAAACTGGACGCTAAACACATAACCTAACACTAAACTATCATTCAAAGTCTGACCCTTTCTATTATACCTTTGTCTCTTTTTCCCAACTTTAAACTTTCTCCTCTTGTTTCCTTATTTCGTCCCCCCCCATGTGCAAACTCTCTGAGAGAACCTCATTTTTTTTCATTGACGTTTTAATATTCTAAAGGAGTTTTTATCGCAAGGATCATTAATTAACACTATTTACTCAATTATGAATCCGTATCCTTCATCAACATGTAAAAGAGTACCTTTGTATGAAATTTGAACAAAATCTACGTCACGACCTCAGCTGCCGAAAATCAAGGTACTGTACAGTATTAGGTCGGACGTTCTCGGGATGACTTACGGCTTTTTTCTGGAAGGTGAAAACTAACGTGCTTAAATGGTAAAGTTAGTCCATACTCTTGAGAAAATATATATAAAGGGTATTTAAAACTTACACAAGCAGCGTAATTGATGTTTTAAATATTCTAAAGGTGTTTATATACAGGGTGTTCCGTAAATACCTTTCATAATTCAGGGGGTATATTCCTGAGACATGATTAAAGATAATTATTAAATGACCAAATTGTCAATTCTCAAGTTTTGGAATTACAGCACATGACAGGTTTCATAGGAATGTGATGAGACCTACGGTTACCTGACATAAATCCCCTTGATTTCTACCTGTGGGGTCACATAAAAAGCAAGGTGTATGTTACAGAGGTTCACAAACCATGAGGAATTGTGGCGCCGTGTACAGGACAGTGTGGCAAACATTCACAACACCCCTGGGGTCTTTGAACGTGTGGGACACTCACTAGTGCGACGTGCTGAGCCCTGCATTGACCAAGAGGGGTGGAACTTAAACATTTCCTCTAAATGTTAATACCGATACAAGTCATATGGCATTATTATTGTTAATAAACGTCACTAGCCCAGTGTACTGGATGTTTCATATACACCCCATATACGTTTCATCACATTCCTACCAAGCATGTCATGTTCTGTAACTCCAAAACTATTGAGAATTGACAATTTGGTCATTTAGTCATTTATCTTTATTTACCGGGGTATGTCTCAGGAATACACCACCTAATTTATGAAAAGTATTTACTGAACACCCTATATATACAGTACAGCATACAGTATATATGTTGGGCTCAGAAACCGAAAAGCGACCACAACGCATTGTGGTTGTTTGGAAAATAGCCAGAAGCGAGATTTTGCTATAGGTTAGGTTAGGTTAGGTTAGGTTAGTTTGGATTAGGTTAGGTTGGTTTGGATTGGACTGGGTTGGGTTGGGTTGGGTTGGGTTGGGTTGGGTTGGGTTGGGTTGGGTTGAGTTAGGTTAGGGTAAAATCCAAATGCAAAATTTTGCTTTATTCATATATAAATATGAATAAAAAAGAAACAATCTACTTACTTCAGATACATATTTCTTTCAGAGAAATTACACGCAGCAAAGTCAAAGTTGGGGCAGTTGATGGCCAAGACTTTAGGGAAGAGCATGTTTTCTACCATCACAGCTGGATCTTCATACCAATTCCCATATATGAAAATGCCTGGAAGAAAATTACATGTTTTTATTTATCTATGACTCAGATACCTTACATCATTTACAAACTTCTCCTGAAGGGCAGGCAAAGGCAGAATCTTCTCAAAACATTTAACTCGGCAACCAAATACCTGTGATGATTTCCTTAAGTAAATCAATTTATTGCAGGGATTACCAGCCACAAAATAACTGGGAAGGTCTCCTTTAAATTACCGTATACACTGCATACTCATGTATAAATTGATCTCGTATAGTGTTCAACCCCTGATTTTTTAGTAAAAAAAAAAAAAAAAGAGAGAATTTTTCATAAATCTCTTGTGTAATTTGAATCTAGCTTTTGAGAAATACTAGGTATGATCCTAAATATAATTTATAGTAAGACACCAGATTCAAACCATCACTTCTTGGCCAAGACCACCACCAGAACAGCTGAAGTTAACTGTACCAGTAAATTTTTATCTTGAGGCGAATAGATACCACTAAATAAGATAAAATAAATACTGTTGCCATTTGGCTACTGGACGACAAATTTGTCAATTGTTTCACTACACATGGGAAACAGCTCAGAACAGCCGATATCTCAAATCCCTCCCTCCCTTACTCATCGTGAACTCTTAACACACGAAGAAAGTCTATTCCTTTTATCTTTTTGACCTTACGATAATTTTTTTTCTTCACATTTTGTATGTATGATTGTGTACATGTTAAAAAAAAAAATTACACAGTACAGTACCAGGTATACAGGGCATCTATATAAAATTACAAGTTGAAAAATAACCATAACATAGCTCACAACTTGGCCTGCAGTGGTAGGTAGAGGGCTAAGGGGATGTAACTATTTTAACTATTACGTTACTACAGGTATTACAAATTCAAAACTAATATAAATATTGAAAACAAGCATAGAAAAAGGAATAATCACAGATGTAAAGTAATGGCCTACATGGTAAGTCAAAAGGCTGAAGCAAACTCAAAACTCCCAGTACCTATCTCCCAGCATTCATAAGCCATACCACCTACCTTTCTTATGTTATTTAACAATTGTGCTACTTCAAACAACATTTTTATACAATCTAGAAGAAAAAATGCAGCTTAACCATTAAGAAAAAGCTTAAATGAAAGTTTAACACAACTGCCATTTGCATAGATGGTGGCTGCTTGGCCTCAACATTCGCCACAGCAATGCAACCCAACTGGGACGCTACCTCTGCCAACTCCCTAGCAACAGGCACTTCCCCCACCCCCCAACTCCACAATTACTTCCTTAATTCACAAATTGGTGCATGGTTGCAATACAGATAGGCTGTTTAGAGAATAAAAAAATTAATAGTGACTATCCTATCTTGCATCAAATAGCTAATATTTATCATAACCCATATTTTTTTATTGCACGAACTATCAATGTGTATCAACTATAACTTTCAGCAATAGATTCAAGGTACTGTAATTATTCTTACCTTTTTTAGATGCATGGCCATGAAGATCAACATACAGGAAAAGTCCTGAAGTGACCTGAGTTTCCTCAGGTATTGGTGTTGGTGGGCTGAGGGCTGGAGTAAACTCTTGTGCAGGTAATGGAAGAGATGTTTCCAGGACTCCCAAGCACACTTCAGATTCTCTTCCAGGACGACCACATTCCGCCTCACTTTCACTACTACTGGCAATACCAAATCCTTCTCTTACTCCAGATGTGCCCTGCACTCCACTAGGAGTTGGAGGTGATCCTGATTTTAATACAGTCTTGTAATGTACACCAGCTGTTGCACTCAGATCTCTTTTGAAATTCAACGAGTCCTTTTTTGCACTTTTGCCAAGAGAAAAACTGTAATTAACACTTCGTTCAGCAGTTTCAACTTTCAACTGATGTTGACTAGACACTGGTGAAGATACTGAGGTTACTGATACAATGTTTGCATTTGGAGAAACAGTGCTAAGATTTGGCTTTTGTTTACTGGCACTTACACTACCAAAAATGTTAAGATCTCTCTCAATTGTTGTTTTGTTTGATAATCTTTGATCATAAAAACAGTCCCTACATCCTTTATCACTTTCTTCTTTGTTAAAATCCTTTAAAAACAAATCCTTAGATTTACAAGAAGCATCACATTCTATCGCCTCATTCTTAATTTGTGTAACACAAGGAGAATTCACTGCCTTGTTGGTTTGTTCACTATTTTTATTTATGGATATAATGTCTCTGAACTCACTTAAAGCAGCCATAGAGCCAAACATGGAAGTAACACCTGTTTCAGCCTCACTGATACATGATACATTTGAGCAATCATCATGCACTTCAACAGTATGTGGATCTCGGTGAAATGAACTGCCAGCCATCCCACAGTCTACCGAGACATTACTGGATATGTCCCATCCTGAAGCTGAAGGTTCATCCATCTCCATGAGAGACATGCCTCGTACCCTTCCACTTCCTGAGCCTCCAGCTTTTCCACACTGAACATCACTGAAACTGTGGCAGGTATCTTCATCCATCACAACTGGTGGTCCCTTGGAAGTATTTGTAACAGACACGCCCAAATCATCACTGGAAGTACTTGTTGCATTAACAGTAGCAGGATCTGTAGAATCAGTATTTGTGGATATTGAGGGTGTCTCCTCCACTGGGGTTGTAGTTAACTGGCCGTGATGGTGATAGAGGATCACTTGCCTGGCAGCATATATAGTTGGATGCAAGGTAGGTGAGGGGTCTACATACACACGATTCAAGTTTACTCCACGTTGATCAGTGCGATAATGGCCACGGACAACACCATCAGGATTCAAAAATGGAATCAACTTAAAGACAAACATATCCCTTAGTTTCACAGCACGAGGATCATTTGAGACAATAAAATTCAAGAAGCCATTTAGGACAAAACTGGAGGAAGTCTCCCCAGGATGAACTCTGGCAGACACAAATACCACCTTTTTATTCGGGAAACGATGAGGACGAGGTTGATCAGCCAGTGGGAAGAGTCCTGGTAATCTATCCTCCCTTTCTTCCACCCTATCATTGTGGGAACTAACAGTCACCAAATCCACACGCCAATGATCTAATGAATAAATAAGCAACTCTCTATGATAATATAAACTTGGACACCCTGGAGGAAATCGGCGGTCCAAACTCTCCAGCACAGTTTGCAGTTCTGAATATGTGAAGGGGTATGTGAATGCATAGTGCGTTACTGCACATGCTTCATTGACCGTGTGAACCCATGTTATCACAGTGCTATTCTCCTCACTCTGAAATAAGAAAAAACCTAATCAATGATAAAAGTATTACTAGAGAAATAAAATACAAAACTAGATTTAGAAAAGCCATAAATTTTCCCACATTTTCCAGCCAAATTGAGAGAGGCTGTACTGTATTAGCAAGTTGCTAGGACATGGAGGCCCTTCATACCAAACACATTGACCCAGTTGTTGGCAATTGCAAATACCCTTTTTGTGCATATCATAAACTTCAACCATATAAAAAACTAACATCTAGGATTGTATGACCATCAATCAATACAGTGTAAGTGCTAAATGAAATCTGGGAGGAATATTTAGCTTTCAATATGAATAAAGGGGCAGAGATTGTGTCCTACCTCCAAGCTCATGTTATTGGAACTGAGGTGTTGATTCAATTGTCTTTTTTCTGGCAGAGCTAACAGAGCAGGCTTGAGAAGCAAACACATGCTAAATTTGATCGAGTCTCCCCTTTACTGATACCTAGTGGAAAAGTGAAAGATATCCTATTTTTTTTATTATACAGTACCCTATATGCAATTATTAAACTCCAATCATGAATATGGGACCTGGAAATTTGATTTTCACCCTGTAGACATGCTGATTTTACAGACACCCAAGACAGCACTAGGTTAGAAATTTGTCAGATGCGGTTAGAATTTCATGATACAGGATTTAAAAAAATATATATCCCAGGTCAGATTGATAAAACATATTGTGCCAAATTCAAGTTAAATGTAATTACACTTGTTTAATATCTGACACTAACAAAGAAGTGTGTTTATGGTACCCATTCACAGCTCAGTGAACTGGGGATGCCCAAGACATAACCAAATGACCCTTAAGACAGAAGGTGAATGTTGTATCTACTTGGGTACCACACTACTTTGCTATTAATAGCGATCATAATTACGTTTAGAGACACTCAATAATATCATACCCGATAAGTGCATCTGTCCTTGATGCGTTCCCACCGCGGAGGACGGGTGTTAGAAATGCATTGCATAACTGGCTGCATCCCTTGAGAGTAGAGTTTAGACTGTTTGTTCAGATTCATCACATTCAGTCTCACTCGGTTGCCTACAGCACCACCTATAAAAAATGAAGGGATTAGAAATGTTAAGAACTCATTAACACTTTTTAATACTGTACAGGGAAGCCTCGGATAACAACGGTTCAACCAACAACTTTATGTATTTGAAACCCTAGATAATTTAGGACCCAATTCAGTTTACATCCTTATTTCAATTGTATTTACGACCAAAATATAATAAATATCATATAAAATTACATTTTCATATAAATAATAACTAAATCACGATATGTATTATAAAAAAATACAGTAAAAGAGATGAAGAGAGCCTTGCACAAAGAAGCTGCCTTGCTAATGAGTGGTAAACAACAGTACAGTAGGAGCTTGGCGGGCCTTTTGTTTTCACGCATCTGTAACAGGAGCTGGAGAAAAGCTTTCTCAGGTTTCTTACAACATTTTTGCATCCCTATTCAACATGAGCGAGAGAGCAAGTGATGGTAGTGTTGTTTCAAAAGCAAGTAGAAAGTGTCAAAGCTTATCCGAGAAATTAGATGTGTTAAAACGATATGAAAAAGGTGAGAGGTCTGTGGATATTATATGGAGCAAGCAATGAACATATTTTCTTAAGTGGATCCATTAACAGAACAAAGCATTAAAATTTAAATAAATACAAATGACCTCTACATAAAGATATATAATGAGAAAAGAAAGCAGCTGTGCAAGATTCTTTCGAAAGCTTTATTATTCGAAGGCCTAAACCATCAACTTCAGCTACACCATCAAATTCAGCATCATAAGCAGTTTAAACATCAACTTCAGGTTCAGTAGCAGTTTCAGCAACAGCTTTATGGAAAACGTAATTACAACCACTAATTACCCCGCAGTTGAATAGTGGACCTCATATTCGAAATCACCATGCTCAGGAGTACCTATAATGTGATTTTCAAAAAAATCAAATTTTGGGCCAAAACTGTCGAAAATGCAAGTCTTACACCTTAGTAATTTTTCGACCAAAATATACTTTTCTCTCAGAATTAAAATTTAAGGGGTTTAACTAATTAAGTACTTCAGCCAGAGTTAAGCCTGATAACTTCGTCATCTGAGTAAAAACTCGCACAATACTCATTGGCTGTCTTTATGTTTCAAACTTTACCATCATTGGCGAATAGAATTTTAGTTTTACATTCGTAAATATTATTTAAAACATATATGAACAGTAAATAAGTGTTGCTTTCATATTCATATGTTGAGAAATGACAATAAGTTTTCACATGTATGCACTTACTGTTCATACTTTGACGTTCCGAATCGTCTCGCCTTATTTCTTTACCATGGTTAGCTACTCCTAGTGTTCCATTTATTAACATTAAATAGCATTACTTATAACATACATACAGGTATTCAATATTTTTTAAATTAAGTTCACTACAGCTACAACCAGGGTATTATTTTCTTCAATTTCTTATGAAGAACAATCGTCACTCACGAAAACAATGCCGTCTTGTCTCCTCATGTGTTTTAACATTCTATGTATTACAAGTATTTAATGAATTGCATTCCTCATTTCACATACATAAACATTAATTCAATCAAATACATATTCAGTAATAAACAATTATGAATCTTTTGTACATATTCTTAAGAAAAATGACATGGTATCCTTAAATGCACATGTACAGTCGACCCTCGTAAATTCGGACCCCTTTAATCTTGATTTCGGATAATTCGGACAAAATCTGAACTTTTATTTTTATTTTTTTAGATTTGTAGGAATATTACCTATGCGGACCTTAACCTAAAATGCTGATCCACCCACTGCTGGGATAAAACACCAGCGTCTTTTTGGTTAAATGTAACATCTCCACCACTAGTGTGGGGGGGGGGGATGCAACTTTTAGCTTCAGACATGAAAAATATTTACCATTTACTGCCAGTAAACAATGGAAACGTAAAATATGTACCAATTAGTAATGAAAAGTTGTGCAGTTCCTTCAGCAAATGAAGCTCACCAACTTACAATAGGCTAAATTACCTTACAACGTGTTTTCAGTACTCTATGTTGAAGTTCTTAGCACAGGCTAACTTATCATATCATATACGGTATCACAGTTCTCATTGATCTACAAAAAATACCGGTAATAAAAACCTTTTCGATATTTCACACTTAATATAATACCCGGTAATCTACTTCAACCTCCTATTGTTTACAACGAAGCATGACACACCACCAGCTGTTGAGTATCAGCTAGACGGTACACATGTTTTTTGAATCATTTTCAGTTAAAAAATTGTTACATCACACGTATATTATACCTAAACTGCGCCTAAATGAATATATTCTCGGAAATAAATAGTAGTTTTGCTGAAACGTGATGTATTTCAATGTAAAATAGGATAAAATACATAACGAAAACAAAAGATTTTACCTAACCTTCCGATGTTCAAGAAAAGTTACTCGTTTTTTTAATAGTTTTTGGTTAAAATACTGTTATATTACAATAGTATTCTATTCATACTGTGCTTGATATAATGCATTCACGGAAATGTAATATTTTTGATGAAATGACGTACGTATTACAGTGGAAAGTGGGATAAAATCGTGACGAAAACAATGACTTTGAAATATAATGCAATATTAACCCCTAAATTGGTTAATTCGGACAATCGGCTAAAACGGATACCCTTCCCCCCCTATTAGTCCGAATTAACGAGGGTCGACTGTATATGTTAGCATTCCCAAACCAGGTCGACCCATGTGAATCACACAAATCCGAGAAGGAAAATATGGATGGGGAGGGGGGAGGGTGTCAAGGTCTTGGCCGAGGTTCATTATTAGGCTTGGGGTGGGTCACGAAAGGGTCTTCAATTTCTTGATATACTGTATATATATATATATTTACAGTATATACAGCTCCTCCCCGACTTACGACGGGGTAAGGGACCCAAATACAGGTCGTAAGTCGAAAATGCTTAAATAATACATAGAAAATCTAAAATGGGTGTCTCTTTTTCTTCTCATCACCACAAAACTCTCACTTTTAAGGTTGACAGCCATTTTAAAGTGAATTGCAAACGAAAATTTTGTCTGTGTACTGACGTGACTCGAAAATACGTAATTTGACAAAATTTTGGTACGACTGAGGCAGGTCGTAAGTGCGGGTGGTCTTAAGTGCGGGTGGTCGTAAGTGCGGGTGGTCGTAAGTGCGAGTGATCGTAAGTCGAGTAGGTCGTAAGTCGGGGAAGAGCTGTATATAGTACATCATTAATTTATGGAAAGATTGCTGTTAAAATGACAATATTTTGAAGTTGAATTAATTCACATAAAATTCCAGGTTTATTTGTATAATTCCCTGGCTTTTCTAGGTTTTCCAGACCAGTAGAGACCTTGTTTATGGTACTGTACCACATCCAAAAAGTATACAAATTTTATCAAGAAGAGTGTTCAGATGTGTTGTTAAATTGAAACAATAAAAATCCTGCCCAATATGGCATACCATTAAAAGCTACGTGAAACATACCCTTAATACCAAAGAAGAACCAAGTTCTATTGTTATTTTCATATTCTGTGCCTGCACAATCTGGACGAGTCCACAGGTTGAATTCATAATTGACAGGCATAGGATCAACAATTGGCTGGGAGGATGTGGACGACTTGTGTGCCTTACGTCCTCCAGTGAGAGAACCTCCCTGACTTGATGGGGCATGACCAGAGCCTGCAAAACAAACACAAACACCTCAATTTAATATTTATATATATAGTACCATACATGGCAGAGTAAACAGTACAGTATAGTACCTATAAAGACCTTTACTGTCTCATAATTATACTTTTGATACATGCTAGGCATAATTTATGGTTCATCAACAAATAAAACAAAAAAATACTATATGGAATTTAAATACAGGTAATAATAATAACTGCTGCATACAGAAATGGAAAAAAACAGATCAAAAGTGAGAAACGATAAATAGGTTATGTTGTCAAAATAAGAAAAACAATTGAGACCCTGCAATTATGTGTAAATGAGGCAGAAATTCAGTCCGAACTGCAACCTGAGACTTGGTCACAATTTTTGTGATGCCATAAGGCAGCAGGGTCTACCATTAACAACACATTATGCTTCCAATATCTTCTCAAGTGGTAGTACTTTCCTGTTTCATAGCTGTCTACTACCTACCATCACAAATTCTTTATTTTACTTTACTTTGTCCTCTTTGCCACTGATCAGCCTGTAAGCTGTTTGGGTAGTCTGTCAAGACAATTCACGTCTCTGCTGTGCAACATTGGAAAGCACTGGTTATGCACTGGCTCCAGAATGCATCTTGAATGAGCATACACTCAGTACCAACAGAACATTCTCTAGCAGACATTTCCAGGAGTTCACAACCCTCTCTCCAAAATAAGTTTGCCCTGATAGCTTTCTTAACTTGTGGCTTCTTCAATAAGAAGCTGTGACCTCTAGTGGGGCGGGCAATCACTAGTACCAGGTATGAAAACTCAACTAAGTAATGTCCTCTGAGGTGCTTATAGACTTCTATTAAGTTACCCCTTGCCAGACTAGGCAACTGCAGGCATTCTAATCTCTCTTAGACATTCTTCATCAACTCACAGTCTCTAGGTATAAGAACTGGCAACCTGTACAGTTTACAATCACCATCTGAAATATGACAAAAGAAAATGTGTACAGTAAATTTTTTTTTTTATTTACAAGACTTCTTTCATCCCACTCTGTATACAGTGTACAGTATGGTATAAAAATACCATACTGTTTCCACAAAATTAATCAAGGAGGAGACATTATATTAATGCCATAATCTCAACAGCTCTGTCTTCTTCTTCAACCTTATTACTGTAAAACCCATGTTGTACTGCTCCCCCATTCTACTTATGTTTTTCAATTCCACTGTAATTTATGTATATATAAATACAAAAATACGTAAAATAAATCAAATAAAATTAATAAATATTGAAGTGATAACCGTGGTAACATTATGAGATGTTCTTATTACCACCATGCTATTGTACTATTCCAGATGATACTAAATGTTACATAATACTTCCTTGAGATAAATGTATAGTATATATCAGGTGCCTAAAAAAGTTTGAATTGAATTGAATTGAAACATTTCATTTAGCCAGAAAAATACAGATACAGAGTGGATAGAAATAACAATATTAACATGGCTGAGCCAGTTGAGAACCTGAGCTCTCTTTGAGGCACCTGATATATACTATACATTTATCTCAAGGAAGTATATATATATACACGCACGCACGCACGCACATATATATGCTGATAACCACAAGGAAAGAAGAAAACACGAAGTTCCCAAGCGCTTTCGTGTAATTCACATCTTCAGGGGTGAGTACAGACTAAAGAGAAATACAAACCAAGGTGTATATATACAGAGGAGGGTGAGACCAGGTCCACAATGGTCAGGTATTAGGTAATGACCCTACTAATCTTTAAATAGCACACAACGGTTGGTGGTCAGGTCAGATGGTGAGGTGACCTGACCACCAATGGTTGTGTGCTATTTAAAGATTAGTAGGGCAGAGCTTTCAGGATTATGTCCAGTTGGCAATTATGTGTATTGCAATGGTAATTACTTATTTATTTACATGATAATTTCCGATAAAACGGATTTGGTGGTACAATAAAAGCAGGTACTGTAAATATAGCAAGTGTTACAAGAAATATTAATACTTCAACAATAGATATTTTTTTTAGAGATGATTTAAAGGAATGGAGCGTAGTCATTGCTCGGATGGGTGGGGGTAAGTTGTTCCATACCTTCACACCAACTAGCTCAGCCATGTTAATGTTGTTATTTTTATCCACTCTGTATCTGTGTTTTTCTGGCTAAATAAACTGTTTCAATTTAATTCAATTCAAACATTACTCCAGGATATAAGCACTTGGTGATGGTCCATAGAGATAAAATAACCAAATTACTAGTTTAAATATTATGCCAAGTTGCCTGGCAGAGGGCATTAACCAGAAACTGAATTATTCCTTATACACAATCAATCCTCAGATAATTTAATCATCCATGCACATATTATGCCATAGCTTTGGACATATACCTGTTACAGCTTATCTATTCCACTCAGTACAAAGAAGACATATTCCACTCTCTCACCAATATATTCATTCAGATTAACCGATACATTAACATACTTTCAATTACTCAGTACCATCACCTGGCCCTAATGTTTTCTTTAGAGAGCAGTTTCAACCTAACCCACTACTTATGGAAAATTTTCAGACAAATGCTGCACAGTACCAACTGTAGCTTATACTGTATGATTCAGAATGACCAATATATGCTATAGTTTACTATATACAGCTGTATCATAATGACATGTACAGAATGTATTACACTACAAATAGTTACCTGGAGGATCAACTTTTTCCACTCGAGCCAAATTTCCACTTTCAAAATTTGAAGTAAAAATGAAGGGTCCAATTATTTCCTCCATCTCTGTTTCTTGGAGGGTGACCCTTATATGAAACGGCTCGATGTACTGTTGGAGGGGCCAGCAATAGTTCGCTGTGTATTCAGCAAAAGTGCTGGCCTGATCCTTTCTTTACCTCACATGATGCTGCAAAGTTAAAACAAATTTAAGTTTAATTACATAATAAATATATGGAAGACTGAATACTGAAATTCTATTTTATAGCCGAGACCAAAATCATGGATGACTTAATATTAGTGCTACAGCCCATTTATGGTGGAAAATGGTGAGAAAAAAATTGGTTGCTATAAACAGAATCCCTTTGAAAAAGTGGAATAACAGATCCAACCACTTAGTTCCAGATGCTTCATACTATACTGTCAGAAAGAGGGAGGACTACTGAATCATCTGCTCTGGTCTCAAGCATCAAGCATAAAATGAGATTTTAGGAGTTAATCCGACATTTATTGCTACAATCTCTGTGGACTACCTCAACATTATCAGCAGCCAGAATAATGTTGGGAGGAGGTGAAAGGGGAAGCTTAAGGTGCTCTGATATAAACACCACAACAGAATGCTGTATTAAAAAATTCATAGTTCAGTAAACATCTAACCTTTCAACTTCCCAACACCATGAACTTTGTTTGTGATCTCATTCAGATACTGTACTGTACTGGCATATGAAAAAGTCTTAGCTAATGACCATGCAACTCTTTGCAAGATAGGTCAACCGACATACCTCTCCAGAAGGCCAGGTTGAGGCAATTCACAACTTTAGATTCCTTTTTTTTTAAATACAATGTCTAAATATTGTAGCTACATTTATGATTAGAGTTAAAGCCATTTAACAAAGTATTCCATAATACAGATATAGGAGCTTTAACGAGATAAAGTGAAAAGTGATTTGTGTTCTCATTGTTGTTTGAATCTTTGCTAAAAATTTCAAGATACCGGTAGGTTTAAGACTGATTTCAGATTTCAAGCTCGAGAGACGTTTTTTACAGCCTGTAAATTGTGAATCTAAAATAAGAAATAATAGCATTAGGAAACAGAGAGACAAGTGATTTATTTATCTTACTAGAAACATAAGATGGAAACAAATTAGATCTACAAAAGAATTATCATTATTTTGCAAAAAATCTAAAAGCTAGATCTAGAGGATAACTTACTTCAGACATAAAGCAACCTGGACCCTGGCTGAAAGCATGCACAATACAGTATATCTAAATTGCTTCTATCTGAAGCCAATGCAGTAAGTCCTCGCTTAACGTTGTTTCGGTACTATGTCGCTGAACTTTAGAGACCCAAAATTCGTTTAACATCCCGTTGATCCGATTACATGTCGTTTTGTGTCGTCACGGACTACTTTCTACGGCACATCACCCGCTCTTGTCTGGCCGCACTACGCTCTCTCGGCTCGGCACACTGCCCTCACTCGCGGAAAGTCACAGCGTCCCCAAGCGACGCCAAGCCAGTCTCTGTTACGACTTCACATCATTCGCGTGTGCTCAAGTGATTTTGCTCTAAAACTGTACTCTAACCATTCAAAATAGCTTCCAAGCACCCATCAAGTGCTACTGATGCTAGTGTAGTGAAGAGGTAACGTAAGACCATTACCCTTACTACGAAAATGGATGTATTAACCCGATTTGAAATAAGGGAACGTGCTGTGGACACAGCCGCTGTGCTTGGTCTAACCCCCACAACGGTGTGTACTATCCGGACCAAAGGTGACAAGATTAAGGTTAGTGCTGGAAGTGGTTCTTCTCTGAGTGCTACTAAGACGACTTGTACTAGAAGCACTGTGATAAAGAAGGTGGAAAAGATGCTGGCAATGTGGATGGAGGATCAGAATCAACGCAATGCCCTTGTGAGCCTTATGCTTATCCAGCGGAAGGCCAGATCTTTGTTTGACAACTTAAAGGCAGAAGAGGGTGAAGGATTGAAGGAAGAGACCTTTACAGCCAGCCAAGGATGGTTTCAACGTTTTAAGCACCGTTATAACTTCCATAATATTAGGATGACTGGTGAAAATGCCAGTTCAGATACGGTTGCAGCTGAGACATTCCCGCCAGAATTCAAATGGATTGTCCAGCAAGGAGGCTACTCACCGAAGCAAGTCTTCAATGTGGATGAAACTGGTCTCTTTTGGAAGTGGATGCCTGAGAGGACCTATATCTGCAAGGAGGAGAAAAGAACGCAGGTTTTAAAACAACAAAAGACCGCTTGACGCTGCTGCTTGGTGCGAACGTTGCCGGTGACTTCAAGCTGAAGCCTATGCTGATTTCTCGCGCTGCCAACCCATGGGCCCTGAAAGGTTACTCTAAGGATCACCTTCTGTCATTTACAGGGCAAACAAAAAGGCATGGATAACCGGCGCCATATTTAGCCAGTGGTTAAATGTGTACGCCGTCCCTGCACTGAAGGAATACTGTGCCAAGGAGAACCTTAACTTCAAAATTCTTCTGATCCTTGACAATGCTCCAGCTCATCCTCCCAATTTCAACGACTTGCATGACAGTGTAAAAGTTGTACCTGTACCTCCCAATACAACAGCACTGATGCAGCCTATGGACCAAGGCGTCATCGCTGCATCCAAGGCTTATTATTTAGGCCGTACCATGGCCCAGCTGCTCAAGGCTACAGACGGAGAAAATAAACCAACGATCAGAGAATATTGGCGCGGCTTCAACATTCTTCATGCAATTGACAACATTGGCAAGGCATGGGGAGAGGTTTCATAAAGTTGCCTGAATGGTACAAGGCGTAAACTGTGGCCCAAGTGCGTCAACAGTTTTACGGGATTCACGGATTTAGTCCCAGCTGTGAATAGGGATATCCTCAGCTTGGCTAAACAGGCAGGCTTTGATGAGCTGGAATCAGAGGATATTGAGGACGTCCTGGCATCCCATACAGAAGAGCTCACCAACGAAGATCTGTAACGAGTACAAAGAAGAACCTCAACGAACGCTAACTTCCAAGAGGTTGACAGAATCGTTGAACATGTTCCAGCAAGCAATGCAAATGCTTCTAGATGATGACCCAAACAGAGAACGTAGCTCAAAGGTTCAACGCAGCATTGAGGACAGTCTTGGTTCCAACACGGAGATCTCTAAGGAGAAGAAGATGAGTAGCACCAAGCAGTCAACACTGGATTCATTTTTTCGTCGTCGGATGGCAGAAGGAGCTTCTTCACAATAACCGGCAGCCGAGGAGGAGCAAACAACAACGGAGGAGGAGGAGGCAGCCGCAGAGTCTCAGAGACTCACCACCCTCCTCCGCTCCTACTTTCCTCCTCCATTCCCGCCATCCTCCTCCTTCGCTCCACTACCCACCACACACTCGCTCTACCACCTCCGCCCATCGGTGAGTACCAATACAAACTTAGTAGTGGCAATGGTTTTCTGTATATGTAACTTTTTTCATGGGGCAAAGGGAGGCTCAGGAACGTAACTCCCATATTTTATTTATTTATTTTGGGGAAAATTGATCCGCTTCACGTTGTTTCGCATAACGTCACATTTTCAGGAACGTAACCTCGACGTTAAGCGAGGACGCCCTGTACTACTTAAAAGGCAAACACTTTCCTTGCAGGGCCACTCAAGAACCACTTTAGTGGACTGACATCAGTAGACTAATGGGTCTGGAGGCAAGTGTTATATTCAATAGGCTGACATTAGAAGTGACTTATAAAGGAAAATCAAAGAGCCATTCTTAATGAAAACCAATATGCCAATTTAAAAATTTAAAATACAAAACAGTACGTACAAGAAAGTATGGCAGAACACTGAATTACAGGACACCTACGGTATACTGCATATTTTGAATAAGATACAACCAGACTGGATATTTCCCAGTAATATACTATCTGTATTCTTATTAAGTTAACACTAGATTAACAACACTTGCATGAACATAATTTAAGCTCAGTGGTGAAGGTAGATACAGTATTACTGATACCTCAGCAAAGGATAAAAAGTTACAAATTGGTGCATTTTGTATTGTGGATATTCAATCTTGTGGTCTGCAGTTCTTTAACAGAATTAAAAAAAAAATGCTTATGCTTAGCCATGGATATTATAGTACAGTGTACTGTACAGTAAACCCTTGTTATTCATTCACAGGTTTACCATTCGCACTTAGCAGGAGAACTGCAAGTTACCCCAAAATTCAGACATTCCTCTATTTCTTTTGCTAATCCACGATCAATTAAGAATTGTATCCATCAAGATTATCCAAATTTAAATTTACAACCAACGCGCGAGCACACACAGTCCACGCAAGGTTATACTGTGCTGCATATGGTTTCAGAACTACAAATGACACACCATAACAACAAAAAGAGAGCAAGAAAGATGATTTTAATACAGGTATATATAAAAGTTATTTGTCTACTTTAATACTGTCATCATGGCACCGATGTATACATAAAAATGAGCACCATTTACCAATGGAATGAAAACATGCTTCATTGTACTGTATAAAATTTTTGGTAAATTTTTACTTTCGGACATGAGTCCCGAGGGGTTGACCAATATGTTTTTCCAATGTATTTTTGGCGGAAACCCCCCACAAAAAAAATAAATGAATAAATAAAAAACAAATATGGGGGAGAGCCTGGGAAATCGGGGATTTTTGGTAGGGGAGAAAACAAAAACGAGTCATCTAACCTAACAAAACCTAACCCCTAGCCGGGGGCTCTGCCCCCAGACCCCCGGTAGGCTTAGCTTAAACTAACCTAAATTTTTCAGTAGTTAAAAACTCTGGGGCTCACCATGTCCGAAAGTACAATACCTTAGTTAAAAGTGGAAGGACCAGGGATACATAAGAATTGGATAGAATGATTGTCTTTCTCGTAAAACTCAGCAATACTCAAAATAATCGTAGGAGCACAAATGACAACCAACATCCACCATGGCCATTGTCAGACTGGTCAATGAAATTACCCAGGCTGCTTCCTGTGAAAAAAATTCACATGATGATACTGATACATCATTGGTCACGAATGGGTGACATCAGTCAATATTGCACATGTGTGATGTGTCATTAATATCCCCTCACAGAGATGAAGGCTGAAAACTTCGTAAAATCAATTAAACTCAATTGTGTTGCTATTATCCATTTCCGCCATGTATATACGGTGTTCAAAATGCTCAGAAAAGCGAGATCTAAATGTTTCAGTAGTTTATAACTTTCGGGCATGCTATGTCCGAAAGTAAAATAATACCAAATGTTTATATATAAATTGTGCTTCGAAGCATTTTTCCATGTGCAAATTTAATTCAATACAGAAGGAATCCTAGATATGGTGCATTATTAAACGGCATAGAAAAGAACTCTGCATGGAAAGAGCACTCTTATAAAAAACTCTTTATTTCATCCTATATTTAGAAAACTGCATGCTAACTGTTATATTACTATAAAATGTCTATTTGTGTAGTGTTTGGTAATGCTTCAGTCCTTTAACCTACTGTGTGTCAGCAGAATATAATGCCATCAAACTTGTTATTTGTTGCATATTTCCCAAAAATCAAAAGTGAAATACTGTAAGCTGAAAATGAAAATGTTTGAATTTTTCAAATAAACAAATGGAAAGAATGAAGCTGTCAACCATAACTTTGTATCATCAGCCTGTAGGAAGTAATGCTTCTGGCAGGGGATGTAATTTTACAATATTTTGAAGGTACCTTTGTGGCTGCTTGAGTCAACACAATTAAACAATTTGAAATAAAGACAATCTCAAGTAGTTTACACCAAATTTTTATGAAGTACCATTTACTTACCTACTTGTGTGCAGACTTTAAAGTGTACACAAGAGTAAACAGCCACTGGCTTAACACATGTTTACATCAGCTGACGAAATCAGCTGTAGTCTGTGATGTCAACAAATCAGCTGCTTAGCAAGAACACGGATGACATCATAATTCAACGTTTTCTACTTTTATTTTCTCGTTTTACCAACTTCATTTCACTTAAAGGAAGCACGTTAACATAAAATATGTTATTAACTTACATTTATACCACTTTAAAGATGATTTGCCGCATAAATATGTAAAAACCGTACATGAAAATGCTGTACAGCTAAGTAAACAGACAGACGACCGTGCTTCCTACCATCCCCGGGAGAGGGCGGCACAGGGCGGCTTGGCTTGAGTGCTATTTAATTGATTTTTGTTTCTAGGTGTACTCTTCACTGTCATACCATCAGTCATTAGTAATCACAATGAACGAGGATTAACATATCGGTAATATTTGTATATTCATGATCTTATTCTCGCTAATGCCTTTAAAATAATAAAAATAAAAACATCAAGTGTATCAAAGAAAATGGTGATGTACAGTTTTCTATGAATCTTACTGATAATTAAAGGCAACGAGAAACAAAAATTCTCTTACTTTTACCTTCACTAAATGATCGGAGTAGCAGTTAATGCAAATCCCATACACTCAATTCCTTAATTAGACAGCAGAACTTAAGGAAAACGTAATTTGCTTCAAATACGCTGTAACAAAAGAGAACTAAACACAAAACTATATATTACAAATTCGGTTGTTCTTGTTAGCATTAAGAAAACAGGTCATCTTAAGAATGTAACGCGATGAATGTTAAATTGCCATTGGTCATTTTTTAAAGTCTTTTCAAAATGGAGAAAAACCTATATGATATGTGTTTGGGATATAAATTAGCTTCAAAACGACTTAGTTACACTAATTGTGAAGCTTTCGTACATGTGTGGTGAGTGATGACAATTAATATTAATTGACAATGGGGGAGGAAGGAGGCCATGAGATGAATTATATAAAATATGAAGATAAGTAGAGTTCAAGATGACTGAGGAGAAAATATACAAGTTAAGAACTTTAGGGTCTGACAACAGATGTTACCTGAAATGAAAACCTTTTTGAGTTATAGACAGTCTATACCGAGTTATTTTATAGGGATATATTAGAGACATGATGTTGGTAGGTGCAAGGATTACACATTATAACATTAATCTACCGTAGAAAACTGTCTTGCGCCGAGAACTCGATCAGCGGCAATACCAAGAGGACACACAGCTTCGATCAGCTATTTATGTTGTGAGCACAAATCAAGAGGAGATAAAGCAACTTCCCAGTACAAACTGTACATGTATGGAAGCTTACCCGAGCAGGTGTTGTGATTCACAACCGTATTGACCTTCGAGAGACGACTAGACAAGTATTGGTTAGAATAGATCAACATTGAATGTACGGTTACAGCTTAAAATGTGTTGTAGCTACTGCCCGTCGATTTGGTACCGATTAAGTTGGATTAGTTTTATACAAACAAGTGATGATATGGATAATACAAACCTTCGCCCTGAATGTACCAAACTAAGCTGAAGAGAGTTTAAAAGAATTACTGTCCCGAGAAATGCAGTGGGACATAATTTGGCAAGTTGGCTAGCGCTGGTGAGGTTGAGGGCCTTTCAGTAGTTATGAATCTGTCGATCATTTTCGTGTTTGATTTGATATTAGATTTAAAATGTTGTAATGTGTTTACACTCACTACTTCCTATTAAAGATTTTAGTTACGTTTCATTATGTAAATCACAACACATTCGTGCTTGCAACTTGGACACAACATACGTCTGGCAGGGAGGACTACTTCTTGCAGGTATTATCGTATAAATGTACTGTTGAAATTTATGGGAATTTGTATTGTAGTTGAACCGTTTATTAACATGCCATGTATATGTGCACTGTACAGTCAAGATATTATTTTAAACAGCATAGGCTCTTGTCCTATGATTTTATTTGTGAAGAGTATGTAGGCAGCTGGCAAGTTGCATGCGTGTGTGAGCTGGGGACGTCAGCCAAAGTAAACAAATAATGTTTGCTTCATCAACATTTAATTTACACGCGAGAAATGAATTCAAGGGTGTTGTTTCTTTGCCACAAAAAATTACTTCATGTCTTCCTACTAAATTCACTTCATTGCGAGCTTACAGCCTACACAGCAGTCAATAAATACTTAACGTTTATTGACTGATTGACAAAACATATACTGTACTAACTTCCAATACTCCTGTCCTTTTTTTTTTAATTTGCTAGCCGTCAACTTCAAATTTCATTATAGCCGCCTGTCCAGATAAGAATAATACACCTATTGTAATTTGTGTATTGACTCCGCTGGTAATTTGCGGCTATGCTTTGTCTTGAAACGGATTTGTGATTGATGTAATTTACTAATGAATTCATACTCGTTCAACATAATTAGTTGACTCGCTTACTACAGTTATCTGTTTAATCAATGATATGTTGTTTATATAATTAAAAAATATATCTATTCAGTAATGGTCATCTACTCGTTTAGTTCCTGAATCATTAAGTTAATTTTTCAAAGCCAGGGAGCGAGTTCGGATTTTTACATGTTCATTAGACGAATTTTCATCATTTTCAGCTTATACAGTATCAAGATGAAATAATGTATTGTACCTACCTGGTTGAGTAAAGGTCAACTTCTGAGGAATACGAATATTCTAAGTTAATACATGACTTTCTAGCCTAATGTAATAACTTACTTTCACTTCAAAAATTCACGAAACAATTGACCACTTGTTAAAATTAAATTAGGTCAGTCAATGACATCACCATAGGAAAATAATGTCTGCTATAACTTGATCACTCCACAAATCAAAATTTACATTTTCTTATTCCATTCTTTAAAGAAATTTGTAATATATTTATCTAAATAAAGAATAACAATTTAATGACAGTATTTCCTTAATTTTTCTTATAAACAGAAGGTTTCGGATGAAACATAATTACCTTGGCAACTCCCAGACAGCGAGGCAATGGCCAAGGCTAAATTAATCCCTTGAGTGACTTTAACCTTCGAGTATACTGTCATCAAAACCAAAGGAATAAGTCTTTGTACTCGAAATCTTATGATATTAAACTGAAAGTTTAAAATACCCGTACGAAGAAGCAGGTAAAAACAAAATTGGGCGAAATAGATCTTAGGGCAGTCGCATACGAAAATTATTAAATTACCGAAAGGGCCCCTGTAATGAACCCTTGCAAGTTCGGCCGTCACCGACTCATGAGATATGGCTGCGATAAGGAGAGTATGTTTATGGTTAGTGTTATTACGTAGCTGTATGTGGAAGTAATTTTTAGGAGTACTGTTGGTGACAAGCAGCAACAGAACGAGTGTTGTCGTGGTACATTTTATGTTTTTACACCCAATTAAATGAGTTTTTATCTATTTTTTGGAATATGGGAATATAATTAACCTTTCACTTCAAGCAGAAAAAATAATACAGACTGGCACTACGAGACGAGTTAATCTAAATTAAGTTAAATATCCGTCAAGTCGTTTATCTTCCTGTATCATACGAACGTTATTCAATACCTAAAAAAAAAATCCAAAGAAATCCATGAATTTAGACAGAAGCAACGCACGAGCTATTATTTTAATCACGTTTACGGTGTTCGTGACACGTATCGGCCACCCTCTGTCACGGTAGGACGAGGAGCCGAGCTGCTAATTGCGGGTTGTCATGATCTCCCAGCCGTATGACAACGTTACCATGGAAGTCATAGTGCAAGATTACCAATTAAAAGTACAGTATACTCATGTATAGAAGGAAAAGTTTATTAAATACGTTAAATATACTACGAATGTTGTTTAATAATGGAGTTAAAAAGATGCAAATTTGGGCTGGTATTAGGTCAATGGCGACAGTAAAACGTGGCAGAAATGATCGATTCAGGTTGCTGTGTTACCCCCCTCACCAGCTTACCCTCGTAACAAAGTGACCTTGTTTCATTCTCCACAGATACTTACTGATCAATACTCTGTTTTAGAAAAGAAATACAGTAGTGTACATCGATCATTATTGTCTAAATTTCAAGAAATTTAATGCGAAGGTAGAATTCAGGGGTTCCCAGACATTTTTCAGAGCGACCTTTCCGATGTTGCCACCTGTCCAGCCACGACCTACGTCATGAAGATTTTGTCACGTGTCACTCACTGGGGGTGAAACTCAGGTATTGTTAGCTTATCCTCAATTGAATGATCATATAGTTTAGTACATCAGAACATTGGGAGACAACATAAATAACATACCACCAAAGCGAGTTTACACATTATTTCTATTATTATTAGGTAGCGTCTTTAATGTTATCCTTTTTGTCTTTAATGTTCCCAACTTGCGCAAAAATTGAATATTTTCTCTAGTTATATATAAGACAATGCACATGTATGTAACACTGGGATGTCTTTTTTTAATGGCGTGTAAATACAGGTTGTGCAATTTTGTAATAATATTGTAATATAATTGCTATGTCACAAGACAAGTGCAAATCATTATCCTTTGATTAATTTCTATACCTGAGTGTAAGTAGCAATTTGCATCTGTTGCTTAAGAACAGCCCCATTCCAACCATTGTTAAAAAATCTTCAACTCAGCGTAGATACTGTAACTTGTGCTAACGAGCCGATAAGTAGCAGAGGATAAAAAGTACAGTAAAAGTTCGGTCTTCGTTAATGACCTGCCATTTATGTCATAATATATTGTTTAATGCATGTGTACCATTTATGTCAATTGCATCTTTTCAGCTTTAATGCCTTATGACTGCTGTATTTGTCAATAACCTGTTAAGTATTATTATCAATAAACTCACACACAACGTTGGAACAAGGGAAAAAGTGAACAAACTCACGAGAATCTCCAGTTAATTATCCACACAGGGCAGAACAGCTATTAAAATAAATTATGTAAAATTAAAATTTTAGCAAACCTTGTCCAGATTATCCTGTATAATCTTCGTTAGGTGAGTAATACTGCACTCAACTTGTGATAACCTGCCAACCATTGGTGTAATTTTGTTGTGATTAAAGGGGGGCAATTTCGGTGTCTTGGAGAAATGCGCCTCTGCACATATTTATAACAATGTATAAATTTTACATTGTTTTAGAAAGCACAATCTTTGTTTTACAAATTTAGTTTAATTGTTTTTACCTTATAATCTGAAGTCTTCCAGTGAAATTAATCCATAAATTCACACTATGATGTGTCTCTTAAAGCTGAAGTGACTTGCTGGGACCGCCCAATTATATATGATCCGACAAGCCGACTCCTGAAGCAATATTGTGTCAA